TAGCATTATTTATAAGTATCAACATAAAAGATAAGTATAACAAAAAGATTTATATGTTAATTTTGTAATTACTTGTACTAAGTTTCACTATGTACAAGTAAATTAATGTTTTACTTCCAGACTAATATATTCATTTGCTTTTTAGCTGAAGTAAGATATATTTTGATGAAGAACAATGTTTCATTAAATGATGTAGATGCCTAAAGATGATAAATGTCCTGCGATGCAGAAACACCCTAGTTTTAACTAATAACGTTAAATCAAATGTCTAACTTGCGAACCGTATATCAACAACCGTATATCGCTTCGACGGATGGTGAAATATTTGCGAACAACTTACACAATTTTTTCATATTTTAATTATTTAATAATTAATTTAAAGTGTATGATGTAGGCCCGACGGCATCGGGCCTTCATCATTCTGATGAGAAAAAACTACATCGGCCCAACGTAGTTAAACTACTATCGGCCGCTGTAAAAGCCAACGTGCCGACGCAGGCCCAACGTGCTTATGCTATCTGGGTAGTACCCCGAATACCACCCCTCTTTCCTTTTTGTCCGCCCCTAACACACTGTTTAACATGATTTAATTATTTGTAATAATTTAATATAGAAATAAATGTTAAACAAAACCTTTTCTTCCCTTTTAATCACGATAGAAAAAATTGAAAAAAATTTCCTCATCCTTTATACTGTACAAAACAATACCAATATAAGCGATAACTTTTGATACTAGTATCGCGTGATCTCGATATCGATCACTGATCTCTATAATAACTATTTATTATATGTTATTATAGATATGTTATTATAGAGAGCTATGTTATTATAGAGATCAGTGATATCGATACTGTAAGGTATCGCATCGAGACCAAACGATACCAAACAATACCAACATTAACGATACTTTCGATACCAGTGTTGCGTGATTTCGATACCGATACTGTATGGTATCGCACCGATACCAGACGAGAAATCGAGACTCGAGACCGATTATCTAGTGTCTAATGGAGGAGGCCCTTTTTTTGTTCGGTGTTAAAAGATTTACTAACCGGTCCCAAAAATTAATTTCGGTACATTTTCCGGTTCGAGAAGAGAGGTAATCATTTCGAACCAAATTTATTACAAATAGATATCCCGCAGTGGACAATTTCAGCGTGAATTTTTTTTGTTTTTTTTTTTGTATTTTGTTTGTCTGTTTTTTTCCTTGTAGCAATTAAAGCTAATGTTGTTATACTAACACTGTATTTTTGCAAACAGCGTGAATCAAAATAGTAAAGTAATAAATGCGAATAATAGTTATTCGCAAAAAATTATTAAAACAAATTCTATCAAGTGGCAATAATTTATTATAGTAATAAAGTTCTGTCACCTATAGGTTTTTTTTTTTTATATAGAAAGATTGGTACGTAAAGTTTTTTTCTAGTTTTGTAAACCGTTAGTTTTATAATAAATTCATATAATAATCTTTAAATAATTAAAAGTTTATAAATTTATTAAAAATTAAATTAAATTATCATAAGTTTATTTGTTTTTTGTTACTTTTGGTTCATTATTTTTTAAACAACTAAATTAACTTCACTTGTTTAACTTCTAATATAATATCTGAACAGATCTGTCTTAAAATTCACTGAGTAGATAAGGTATATATAAGATTTTTTTTTTTAAATCTTTTTTGGATACATTTTACTAAGATTTTTAAAAAATACATAATTAAAAATATCTTCTGTAACGTAAAATAAAGTTAGGTTAATAGAATATATTTTATAAATGGCAGACAACATATTTTTATACCAGGCATACCACTTTATTTAAAAAAAAAATTTTTTCTTATGTGCCAATATAGTTTGAAGCTGAAAAAAATAATCGCAAAAAAAAGAAAAGGGGGGACCAGGTATATTCAATCTATATATCTTGACCAAGACTTAGCACAAATGTTAAAACTTCAATTTGATAACTTAAATAAAATCTCTTTATGTAATTAAAGTGCCTTTAGAATTGTATATAATGTCAAATATGCAATAATACACCTATTTATTCCTTTTATCTCTACTTAAATGATCACTACTATCTCCAATTAATAGAAATTTTTTACTTTGTTTCAGTTACTTTCTAAGAAATAAACTAATATTAGAATATCTTAAACAAAAATCTTGGTAAATGTTTCTCTGAGACTGGTCCCTTATGTGTTCTTGCATATTTTAGAAGTTAACTTTGCTATTTACTTTTTACGGGTCAAAAAACAGATGTATCTAAAGGTTGAAGAAGATGGGTAAGATGAGCAGGAATGCATAGAAGAATAACATTTTTTTATTTGTCAAATCAATCAGTGGGGAGCTAGTATAAGAAATGTGGCCATCAAATATAAGTAAACATGTGCGGTTTGCAATATGCTTTGTATACATTAAAAATATGTTTTCAAACAATTCCGAAAAATACAGATACTCCATCCAGCCCTTATTACTAGTAGTATAAACAGCTCCATTAGGGCCACCTTTAACTACCCATTCCATATACAATTTTTTTCCTTTATAGATTACATATGGTGGCAATATCTGTCCGCTAGCAGAGCATGCACAATTTATAGTAATTTGCTCTGGGCCTGAGCCACCAATGCTCTTCGACACTTTAGCAACACCTTGTTCTGCTAATACAATATGTTACTTTGGGTCAGTGATGAACCCTGTTTCATCAGAGTTGAATATTTGACCAAGAGGGCTTAATAATTCCTGCATTTTTCAATGTTTTTAAACTAAATTAAACCATTTTTTTATGGTTTCAGGATTTTCAGCATGGCTTCTTATATTGTTTAAATGTTCCATATTGTTTGCTTTAATAAAATCTTGAATTAGATATTTTACTTCACCTCTAATGAATCCCCAGTCCCAATCAGTCAATAAAATAAGGCATTCTGATAGCTCTTTTTCCTGCTGTGAAGTTAAAGCTATTTTTCGTCCTGGATGAATATCAATAGGTAGCTCAGCTTTCATTTGTTTGATAGAGCTCTCCTGTCACACTTAAAATGTTTGGATGCCTTTTTTATGAATATTTCTTTACTTAAAACAGAATTGCAGGCATCTATCAAATGATAGATGCCTGCAATTCTGTTTTAAGTAAAGAAATATGTATGTTTGAACCATTCTAGAAAAAAACATAAACAAGATTTATTATCAAAAATGACTAAAAAATTATATTTAAACAAATATAAAGGCATTTTTTAATTTAACTTTCTATTTAGATATTATAAATTTAATGACTTATTTAAATTCATAGAGAGTTCTGTCATTTTTTACTTGTCAGGGAGGGCATTAAGAGCAACTTATTTTTAAATAAAAGTTTTATACTCTAATTAAACAAAAATATTAAATACAAGCATCTCAAATAAGGTTTTTGCTAGTAATACAAAAAACTTTTTGTGTAATTTTAAAGATATATGTTTATAATGGGGAAACCTTTATTAGACAGCTCAACAACTTCGCTATTTTAAACTAAAAAACATAAGACATTTAAATTAATTTTTTATGTCAAAATATTACTTAAGTAGAATTGAATTATTTTAAGAAAGTTCTTACTTAACTTAGATATTACTTTACTTTCAAGAAAAATACAAACAACTTGATATATACTTTTTAATTAAAAACTTAAAAGCACTTGGTTTGGCAAAGTTTTTCATAAACTATGAACAAACCTAAAAACTGCCATAAAAAAAATCAATATTAAAATCCAAATTAACAATGGTTATAAAATAGCTGTAAACCCTAGAAATGTTTTAAACTACTCCCTGATTTAATAAGTAAATCTCTATCATGTAAAGATAAATAATTTCTTTTTTACATAACTGCATTAAGTAATGTAGTTTAAACTGTTCTAAAGTTGATCATATTGGCCCTCTGATCATATTACCCTGCTTTACTCTATATTTTTATATATTTTTTTAAAATATAGTTTAATATATAATATATGTTATATATATATATATATATATATATATATATATATATATATATATATATATATATATATATATATATATATATATATATATATATATATATATATATATATATATATGTATATGTATATATATATATATATATATATATATATATATATATATATATATATGCAGTGGCGGATTGAGGTTTAGTGTCGCGGGGGGGCCAAGTCAATAAATAGGGGCGACCGGGGTTGCCTTCAGTAATTTAATCTTATATATATATATATATATATATTTTAATTGTTTTAGGGGGCGCCGTTAGACCGTTCTAGGGGTGTGTGGGGGGCAGCTCTCCCCATCCCCCCCACGCCCTATACTAAATCCGCCACTGTATATATGTATGGATTTAGCTACCAATGTTAATGGATTATGAGATTAAGTTTATAGATATAGTAAATACAATAATTATACTGTAAAAGTCAGAACTATAAATACAAATATGGACAAATACGCTTAGGTTTCAGATCAGAGTTCCTCAAAAATTTATTGGAATTATTATCAGTGATTCTTCTCAAAAGGTTTGAAAAAAGTGATTTTTGAAAAATTTTAATAATTATTTATCTTATTATCTTCTTTAAAACTATTTTCTTTAAAACATTTTTTTAATCATAATTACCCTCTTTTAACTGTTTGATGTTCATGTTATAAAATTCAATTATTAGTTTTTTAAGCTGAAAATTTGAATAAATTTTTGATTCAAATTGATTTAGGCCAAGTTAAATAACCGTAGTTTCAGTTTCTTCAAACTAGATTTTTCTAATAGCTGATTGAGGAACGCAATAGTTATAGCTAAAAACAACCCACTAGTATAATAAAATATGTTTGATAATATTCAAAAGAATATTAATTTCAATCGCATAAATAGCTAAATCAGTTAAAAATAAACTTGGCTTTTTAATTTACTAAATAAAAACTGCCAGGATTTAGATATGTATAGATTTCATACTCAAGTTTCTTTTTTGTTAAGCGATTTAAAAGTGACTTTTTTTCTGAACTTTTTAATAAGTGTTAATAAGCAGAAAGATTTGTAAACACATTCATTTCAGTACATTGATGTGGAGCTTCTTTTTTCAATAAGAAAACTTTGCAATCATAAAAAAAAAGCGCATGTTTCACAATTTTGGAGCTTACACATCTAGACAATGGGTAGGTTGCTATTGAGTTTTATTTATATTTGGCATGTCTTTACTTTCTTTTTGTAAGTTTACATACTTACTGCATGTTAGACATAATTCTGCATCAAATATGTTTTTTATTAAAATTTTTAAACTTTTCCAAAAAATAATTTTTATTGAAAATGAAAATCTTTGTGAAAATTAGTAAAAATTTAAATTTACCTGTTAGATAACTCTACACAGATATTGAGTATTCACTTTAACATAAGCCTCTGTTAATTTAGTTATTTAAATAGATTTTAAGCATTTCTTCAAACAATTTTTAATGATTTTCAATGAGATATTTTTAATTTTAAGAATTAGTATGAATATTATGCATTTCAACTGGTTTTTTGAGTGATTTTATGAGTATATTACCAGGTAACTATATTTATTTTTTTATAATACAATCAACTATTTTTGAAATGCTTGGGTAGATTTACTAAGACTTACCTGACTAAGAACAGTTATCTGTATTTGTTCTTGTCTTATAAAATCCTTAGTTAATTAATCCTTTATAATATTCTTTATTGTTTTTAATTCAAATTATTATAATTTTTTTTTATTTAAGTAAAGCTATTTTGTCATGTAAAAATAATTATTTTATTAATTGTTAGACTAATTATTTTTTAATTAATTTAATTATTGATTTTGTTTCACTTTTAAAGATCCAAGAATGCCAATACTTTCAGACTCACAGCTAAGTAGATTAAAAGCTCACAAGTATGCTTCAACCGGTAACACTTTTTCTGATGCCATTTTGCAAATATGGTGGAATGCTGTAGTATCTAAAATGCCTCTCTGGGTTGCACCTAATTTAATAACTCTGACTGGGTTATTCATAAACTGTGTAACTTCTGCCTTAGTCATAGGAAATTCACTGCAAGCAAATTCTAATGAGGTTCTTTAATATGATTTTCTTTTATATTTTTTTTTTATAGACGTGTGTAAATTATCATGTTACTATTGTTTATCTGTGGCAGTATTTTTTCAGTAGTTCCAGCTGATACAATAGCTTCATCAGAAACAGTTATTTTTAATATATATCAAAATTTTTAGTGTTTAGCCATGAAAAAACAAAAAAGTAAAAAAGTCATAATAAAGCAATTGCCATGTTTTATGGTTGTTGGGGAGTGATAAAAAGAGCATTAGATCAAAAATATTTTTTACAAATACTTAAATTTGTTTTTAATGTAAACCATTAATTTTAATATAATTTTAATTGATTGATTTATGTAAATATTAGATGACAAGGGTAAAATAAAAAATGAATTAAAAAAGTATAGTTTTTATAATTTTTTAAATACTGTTTTTCTTGTTTAAAATATTTATTACAAAGTATATGAATATAAAAAAGTTAATAAACATTAAAATTATTAAGTGTAACAAAATATTTAAATAAAAATAAGTATAAAAAAATATTTAAGTATAGCAAATCTATTAAATATGACAAACAAATTATTAGTTAATGCTCCTGTTGCACAAACCAAACTTGAACTGAAAGTGTTTAGTTAGCTTGCCAATCTATCTTGCATAGCAGTCAGGGCATCAACTAAAAACTTTGTTTTGATGGATGCAATTTTTCCATGCCAGGTTTTAGAAAAGAAAAGGCTTCAATCCCGTTAAAACTTTGATTCTTGTTTTTGTAACAATTTTATGTGGCCTGTGTAATGTGTCAAAAAAATCCTAGTAACAGGAAGCCCCAAGGTACTTACATTATGTTATAAGAATGATAGTAAAGTATTAGTTATCAGCAACTAAAGAAAATAAGTTAATGAATATAACAAACGTATAGATATAACAAAGTTGATGAATGTTAAAAGCTTGTAAATAAAACAAAAGTAATAGATATTGTAGCAAAATTATTTTCAATTTAAAAAATTATTAATTTGTTCTAATTTTTTTAATTTTATTTATAGTTAAATTATTGTTAAATTAGTTCAATTTCTTTAAAAGTTAATTTTTTAAAAATCAAAAAATTTTAGTTCAAAACAGATCAACATTATTATAGCTGTCTCAATCATACTTAAGGCTTTTTTTTTTTTTTTTAATACAATTGTTTGAATAATCACAAAGTTCTGCATATTTTTTTACATTCTTTTTTTTTCTATTATTCACCATTTCCATATTTACCTACTTCCTAATTTTTTTCTTAAAGCTACAATGTCTCTAAAAATTTACAATAAATCAATTTATTGTAATATAAATCAGTTAGTTTTATAATTTTTTAATTATGTTTCTAAATGGTTTTCTCCTTCTTGTGCCGCTGCTATATCCAATTGTAATCATTTTTTTCATCTTTTTCAAAAGAACAACTCTCTTGAGAACAAGCGGCTATTTATTATTGCAAGAAATCGATGTAAAAAGATGCTTTCTGATGCTAAACTCCATTATTCTCAGTTCACTAAATCTCGCATCTTATCGCAGAAGTTAGGCTCTAAAGACTTTTGGAAAATCTTCAACAGCATTATTAACAAGGGTAGATCTAACATTCCATCTCTCATTTATGGGACTGATCTTATTACCTCTCCCAAAGATAAGGCAGAACTATTTGCAAAGAACTATTCTTCTAATTTCACTCTTAAATCTTATGGACATTCTCTTCCTTCCATTCCAGTCAAACAGGTTGACCCATTGTTAGACATTCAAATCACTCCGGCTTCTGTTGCTAAAGTCATATCTCAATTAAACTCGTCTTCAGCTTGTGGTCCTGACAACATTCTTGTCACAGTCTTGCAGAATTGTTCTCCAGAACTTTCTTCAGTTCTCTCTAAACTATTTAACAAGTGTTTGACTGAGTCTTATTTTCCTGCTTGTTGGAAAATGGCATCTGTGGTTCCAATATTCAAAAACTCTGGAGAAAATTCTGCCCCCTCCAATTATCGTCCGATCAGTCTTCTTTCTGTTATTAGCAAGGTCTTTGAGTCTTTGATCAACAAATTCCTCGCATCTCATCTTGAGTCAAATAAACTACTGTTAGACAATCAATACGGTTTTCGATCCTCTCGCTCTACGGCGGACTTGCTAACTGCTGTAACTGAAAGATTTTATCGTGCATTAGATGGAGGCGGTGAGGCTAGGGCTATTGCTCTCGACATATCCTAAAGCTTTCCACAAAGTTTGGCATGCTGGTCTTCTCATGGAAACCATATATACAATCGATTGCTAAATTAGCTTCTGCTAAGGTTGCTTCTCTTTATCGTGCTCACCATTTCCTTACTTCTGATTCCATTCTCTACCTCTACAAATCTCTTATTCGTCCCTGTATGGAATATTGTTGTCATATTTGGGCTGGTTCTTCTAACGATTCACTTTCTCTTCTTGACAAGGTCCAAAAACGCATTGTAAATGTTGTTGGACCTGGACTATCTGCTAAGCTTGAACCTCTTTCCCATTGTCCTAAAGTTGCATCTCTTTCTCTTTTCTACAAATACTATCATGGTCACTGCTCAAAGGAGTTATCATCTCTAGTTCCATCAACTAAAATTCATTCTCGTTTTACTCGTCATTCAGCTAAGTCTCATTCGTTTACTGTATCTGTCCCTGCATGCTCTAAAAACTTTTATTCGTCTAGTTTTTTTCCTCGCACTTCAATCCTTTGGAACTCTCTCCCATCTTCATGTTTTCCTGACTCATACAACCTTCAACTTTTCAAGTCTTCTGTCAACCGTTTCCTTGCTCTATAACTCTGTTCTTTTTTTTCCTAGTAACTCCCAACTTAATAGTGGTTGCTTGCAGCCTTGTTGGGAGTGAATGCAAATAAAAAAAAAAAAAAATGTTTTCTTTATAATTTAATCTTATTTTAGGTACCTCCAAAATATTTTTTTGCAGCTGGTATTGGTTTATTTATTTACCAAACTCTTGATGCTATTGATGGAAAACAAGCTAGGCGAACTGGTACTTCTTCACCTTTAGGAGAATTGTTTGACCATGGTTGTGATTCTGTTTCGAATCTTGTTATAACGGTATCAAGTGCTTGTGCTTTTTCAATGGGAACTTTTCCAAACTATATGTTTTTTTTCTTTATCAACAACATTGCATTGTTTTATCTTGCACACTGGCAGACTTATTGTTCCGGTTGTCTTATATTTAACAAGTAAGCATGTTTTTAATTATAACAAAAAATTAACTAACATCCGTTACACGGATGCAACTGCACTAACACTTTACAAAAGTGCAATTGCTTTTTTTGTGTTTTTTGCTTGAGCTTTTTAACTGATTCAGCCCTCAGAATTAAGAAAAATGAGGTTAGCAATAATTTGCAGACCTTAATCTTTTAGACGTCGGCATCAGGTTGGCAAAAAAAAAATTTGATACAAGGGTTTTACCATAAAACATAGAAGCGGGGCGGACAATTTTTTGCTGACCTCAAACACTTCTAGGTTGGCATTGTCGAATGCTGACCCTAATTCCAAGGGCTGCTCATTTAAATCCTTTACAGTATTTTTGAAAATCTGTTTAACTTTTTCACATCGATTTTCATAGTTAATTTCATAAGTATAATGCAGGCTTGGCCAGAAAGGTGTGCGATTTTAAGTCTTTATATGACCATGCAAATAATATTTTGTTTTGATGATATAACCACGGTTTTTAACAAATATGCTGAAATAATTGGTTTTTAGTTACGTTGAAAACAAATAACTTCAACTCATTTATCTTTACTATCGTTTTTATATTAGCAAAACGCTTTTAAATAAAATAGCTAATGATTTTAATTAAAGTATCTTTGAAAGTTGTATAACTTTTTATTTATATTATTTAATTATATAAGATTATTTTATAAGTAAAAATTCAAAAAAAAAAAAATTAAAATTTATTAGCGACAACTTTAAACAGTGAAGTCCCTTTAACAAACTTTATGCTTAATAATTTTTAGGACCTAATCTATTTTTATTGTTTATCAATGATGTGAGTCACATTAATAAAGAGCTTGATGTCAAACTTAAAGTTTTTGCTGATGATATTAAATAATGTTCAGTCTATGATGTATGTGGCCCTCAGTCATCTTCACAGCTGTTAATCGTTTGTACAAATTGAGTTGTACTTGGCAACTCCAAATAGCAACTGAAAATTCCTTTGTCTGTACAATTGCTAATTAGAGTCAAAACAATAACCCATCGTGTTTATACCATAAATAACCATGAATTTGCTCATGTTAACTGTATAAGAGATCTTAGAGTTACCATTGATAGAAATCTTAAATTTAATCAATATATCAATTTTATTATACATAAGGCTATGTAAAGAGCCTATCTTATTCTAAAATCTTTTTATTCGTGAGATAGATCGCTGATGGTTAAAGCCTACTGTACTTATGTACAACATATGCTTGAATATTGTTCTTCAGTATGGTCACATTACACTAAATGCTTGATTAATAAAATTGAGAAACTACTGCGTTTCTTTACTAAAACAATTGCTGGTGTGTAGTCAGTTTCCCTATGACAAGCGTTTAGCCATACTAAAGCTCAATACATTAGAATATTGGCAAATTTTTAAAGATTTTTATGCTACAAAATTCTTAATGGTAAACTGGACACTGATCTATCAAATGTTCCTATTATCAATTCTTACTTGGGTAATCATGGTCATAACTTTATACTGTACAAACACCATTGTAATCTAAACAGCACTAAGTGGTAATGTATGGAATAGATTATTGGAGAATGTGGCGTTTGCATTGTCTGCCTCGATGTTTAAGAACCATCTTGCTGTACTTCTTCGTTCAACTTGTTACAATTTTGTTCAAACTTGTTCCATCACTTGATACAATTTAACATTTCAGTAAAAAAATTTTAATGTATACTCCAGTATTAGTGGCCTTCGGGTCCTTCTGTTGTTTTCAAATAAATAAATAAATATAAGAATCATTAAAGTTTTTTGTTGAGAAGAAAAAAAAAGATTTAACTTTTTTGAAAGCTGCTTGAATTAAATAACTTTGATATTTATTTACATTTTTATATTATTGAAGCGCATTTAGATAAAGTAACAAATCACAGCTAATGATTTTTTATAAAAACAATGAACAATATATATCAGGCTTTCCCAGGAAAGGCGTGCGGTCGCACGCCTTGTTTGTCCGCGCATAGAATAAATTTTTCTGACTAACTGACCACGTTTTATTATTATGCGTTTCAAGAATTCGCGCCAAAATATAGCTAAACGAAAATACCGCAAAAATGCAAGCAACCTTAAAGTAAATAACAGAAATCTGTTTGTGCTTTAAAATTAAAAAAAGTTTACCTATATTTTATTTATTTATTTTTTTAGGGTGGTAGTTATTTTAGCTATGAAAAATCAAATCAATAAAAAAAATCAAATCAAAAAGAAAAAGAATGTTTAAAGAAAATAAAAAAACCTTTTAATGTAAAATTTGTTTATCAATGACTTTTATCAGTCAGTAATACTTTAAAATTTACGATAGAACTATAAACAATTTTTAAATGTTTCGTAAATACATTTAAATGTTTAAATGTATTGATTTAAATGTTTGAATGTATTGATACGCAAGAAAACACGAAAACGATTGCTATTTATTAGTAAAATATATTTGCTTTTTTTTTTTAATGAAAGAAAATTTTATTGTCAAACGATTGAGTTGCTTATTTTGCAATCACTAATTGACATTGTGAACGAGTGTTAATATATAATAATGTCCCGAAGGAACTGTTTTTGTAACAATGACAACAGAAGCAATGCAATTATTTTTTTAACTTTTTTCATAATAACAAAATTATGCAATTGAATAATTTCAATGTAATAAAGGGCGAGCATTGACTCAGTATAATCAGTTTAGAATAAGTCGAGAAAGAACTTTTTTCACATTAAAATTTTGTTATGTTTAAAATCTCAAATAATATATTTAATAATTAAAACAGCAATTTATTTTCTTGTCTAAGTATTGGGGAATAAAGTCATTGCCTTTGCATAAACCTTCATAAAAACTAAATTAAATGAAAAAGTTTAACCAAATTTGTCTAGCGTAAATAATGAATCAGTTTTTTAATACATTGTCTGATAAAGTTCGTGAATAAATTACATATCAAGTCTTTATTTTCGTGAAAACTTTATGACTTATCGTCATCTTTTCCTTGACTTGTATCAAATTTCGTAGCTGAAAATAGCAAACCTAAAAAAAAAAAAAAAAAAACAGTATAAAAGTTTTGAAAAAAATGTTCAAGACTTTTTTTTTTTTTTGTTAAAAAAATTATTTTTTTTTTAATTTTTTTTTTATTATCAAAATATTTTTCTTACATCCAATTTCAATTTTATACTTTGTTTAGACTTTGTTTCCTTTTTTTAAAATTATTTTTTATTCTCTGTGGATAATTTCCGCTTTCCCACGAAATAATGCCGCGGTCACATTTTCTGAAAAATTTCTTATATGCGTGGACAAACAAGGCGTGCGACCGCACGCCTTTCCTGGGAAAGCCTGATATATATATTTTTTATTTATATAAGTATTTATTTTTTATAATAATAATAATAATAGTAATAATATATTTTCTGTTGAGGGTTAACGCCAAGTCAACCCTATGACTCAAATAACAGGTTTTACAAGATTTTACTAAAAAACTTAAATAAAACCAACAATTTGCTTGCAAAACAAAGCTTATCTATTTTTGATTCAAACTCATTAACGGACTGCGATTTAACAACTGAACTAGGCAGTTTGTTCCATAATTTTAACACTTAATTTGTAAAGAAATTTTCACGAAGATTATTTTTGAAATAGGTATCAGTAATCCTATGGTGATCTGGCTTTCTTAAACTAGCTAGTTTATAATTTTTTTTAGGAGGAACCAGCCATTCAATTTTTTCTATATTTTTTATAGCATTTAAATTTAACTTCATCCTATATCTAAATTTATCTTAAATCTTCCATATTTTAGACCATTCTTCTATAATGTCAATATTATTTTGTCACTTTGAAATATTTCTTCATTCATCTAATATTGTAATAACTTTGCTATCGTCCACATGTAGCTTGCATGGAATTTTAAGTAACACAAATCATTAATATTAAGATTAAACAATAGCGGAACAAGAACGAATCCTTGTGGGACACCACTTCTAACTTCTAGCCATAATGAATTAACATCACCATATATAACTCTTTGACTTCTACTTGATAAGAAAAAATCTAATCCAATTTAATAAATTCAATTTTATACCATAAGCCGATAATTTTAGTAGTAATCTTTCATGTTCAACAGTATTATTATAAATGTTTTTATATAAAAAAAAATTATATCAATTTTTAAATAAACAATTTAATTATTTTTACTTTTGTGCGAATTATTGTTAAGAATCTTTTTTTAAACTTTTAAACATGCTCGTTTATTGAAAAATTGTCAGTTTTAAGTTGTTACTTTATTTAAAAAGGGTTTTGCATAAAATTTTATTATAAAAAATTAACAAAGATAAGTGATTCAAAGTTATTTATTCCAAATGTAATTTAGATAATCTTATCGTTATAGTTAATTATTTATTTTAATTAAGTTTTAATTTTATTTTTGCTATAGTTTTAGTTAAGTTGTTTTTATTTTGTTTTTCGCTATTTTTTTTATAAAGACTTATTCGCTTCTTTAAAGATAAGTTTTTTTTAAGTTTTTTTATAGTTAAGTCAAGATAATTTTTTTAATGCATTTTAAAATCCTATACAAATTTTCAAAACATATTAACAGCCGTGGTCAAGTTAGGTAAAATCAAATAGTATTTGCGTGATATTGTGACATGAAATCGCACGCCTCCTTGGCCAAGCCTAATAATGTATTAATTTTTTTTAAGGTTTGATGTGACAGAGGTTCAACTTCAAGCCATATTTTTTTATATTGCTTCTGGTTTTCTGGGGCCTCATTTTTTTATACAACAGGTACGATAATATTCCATATTTCCTTTTAGTAATTAAAAGCCAAAGAAAAAACCAAAAAGTAAAAAATTAATTAATTTTTTTGTGGGGCTCTATGGCTAAATATTGGTGAGAAATTTAAGTTTTCCTCCTAAAAATTGTTTAAACAAAGATTTTTTTACACAATATGGTTTTTCATAATTTTATTATTTTATTTATAGCTATATCAAGACTTTAATTTTTTTAGAAATTTATGAATTTTTTTTTAGTAATCCTTCAACAAAAATTGAGCTCGACACTTTCTTACTCTAAACTCTATTCTTTACCTCTATAAATCTCAAGTTTGTCCTTGTATGGAATACTGTTGCCATATCTGGGGTAAATCTTCTAATGATCCCCTTTCTTTTCTAGACCAGGTGCAATAATGTATTGTAAATGCGTTTTTCCTCTGACAATTGTTGGAGGTTGGCTACTCTTGCAGCCAACCTCCAACCATTATCACATTGTCATAATGTTGCTTCTCTTTCTCTTTTCTATAAATAATACTATGGGCACTGCTCTAAAGAGCTAGCGTCTCTTGTGCCATCTACTAAAATTCATTTTCAAGTGACTCGTCATTCAATTAAGTCTCATCCTTTTTCTGTGACTTTTCAAAAATTCTAATTCATCTAGTTTTTTTCCTCAAACATCAGTTCTTTGGAATTTGCTTCCTTCATCTTGCTATCGTGATTCATATAATTTGCAAGTTTTAAGTCATCTGTTAATTGTTATCTTGCTTTACAAATACAACTTTAACAAAATCACTGAATGTGCTATTGCAGTCACAAAATGGTTTCTAGAAAATGGACTTCAGCTTAAGCCAAGCAAAACAAAATCTTATTTGGATCTAGGAAACTATATAACAATTAGGTTTACAAATATAGCTATATAACAATTAGGTTTACAAATATAACTATATAACAATTAGGTTTACAAATATAACTATATAACAATTAGGT